AAGAAATCCATGTAGAGTTTTGTGCAATGAAAAAACTCATATAATACAGAGAAAACCTGTATCGTCAAACAATGAGTGGGGCTCTGAATTTATAGGAAGTGAAGAAAAACTGAAAGGATAAACAAGTTGAAAGGACAAAAATGTTCATTTACCTACAATTACCAGTAAAGCTTATGGAATTGAATAAGATCAGTTAATTAAACTAATTAATCTAACCATTACCCCATGAATTCAACCTTGCAAATTTGCTTTGAGTTTGAGTGGAAATTCAGAAATCACTCCATTGGATAGAGATGGTGGTAGAGAGAAAGACAACCAATGCTAAAACGCTAACTATTTGGTTTAGTATAGCACCTCATAAGCATAATGGCTGTGGCCCTCAACGTACAAAAAAGAGGGCCCAAACCAACTTGAGCCCGTCCGAAATAGGCCTGTGTGACTAGATAGACTTACATTCTGCTGGGTTCCATTTTATATCCCTCTCCAGTCTCCTCTCCTGACTCCTGTATCTTTTCCCCCCCTCACTTATTAGTCACTTGCCTAGTTTGCTTGGACAGCATTTGTAAAATCAAACCCTATCAATAATATTACCGGAAAAATCTTTTACTGAAGTCTAAATTAGCCGGTGATTTTTAATAGTGTGAAACGAATAAACCACGATTTCAACATAAAATATCACACTACTAATTTTTTCGGTCCAACCTCCTAGCTTTTGCCATCGTTGTTTCACCCTCTTCCGAGTTTTGGCAGCTTCTCATTTGTCATTTCACTTAGCATGTCACAAACTGACACCATTCTACATAGCTCAGCACAGACAGGATTAGTACCAGACTTGAGAAAAGAAAACAGAGTGCCAGGTAGTATGTCATGTAGCTTTCTTGAAAATGGCCTTTCTAAATGAGACTTCCATAAACTCAATTCATTCACACTCCAATCATCGGAGTCCACATGAAAGTGGAAACAAGGACCACGTAAACCCCTATCAAAGACCAAGTCCTAAATCTCTGAAAAATCATCTCCTCATCTGGAATGTTTCAGAAAGTTACACCACCAAAGCACATCACCAATTTGAGTTTAGTACCCGATGTATATATTGCCACACAACTCCCCCTTTTTCAATAACAGAAAAAACAGAGAGTAACTTGTTAGAAAAATAGTGACGAGGGTATTTGTACGAAAGCCCGAGACCGGGTGACTAGGATTGTGATAGAGTCGTGAAGGAAGTTCACTATCCGTAAATAATATTTCCACCCTCCGAAAGTCTAGGGTTACAGAAAATTTCTTCGTAGGATAAAACTACCATCACTTTAGAATATAGGCTTAAGAAACTAAAGCACACTTAGAAGCTTTTGATGGAAGAAGAATGAAAAATTTTGGTCTATCTTTTGCTGTTCCATGCCGCCAACCGAGTCCCTCCATTTATAGGTGACGAAGCATTGTATTCCATCAAGCAAAACCATGCGTCGTTTCATAAACAGTGCATTATCCATATCAACCACCCTTTTTTCAAGGAAAGCGTTGCTTAAGGAAGCAACCACCAATATTTAGAGGGACGCATTGCTTAGGGAAGGGGGGGGGGGGATGTGACTTCTCTGTTCATTCAAACTTCCACAATTAATCACGTGAACCAATTCTGAAAGGTTGCACTAATTCAATTAATCATGTGGAGACAAATTGAAGTTGGTTAATTCAAATTAAATGGAAGGTTGGCTTGGTTCATGAACATACTCAACTGTTCAATTATTAACCAATTCTTTCCATGTAATTTTCCAACATTCCTCCCCCATTTTAGTGTATTCCAAGAATTCACTAAAATTACAACAATCAAAATTCTTCCAATAAAACTAAAGCGTAAATGAAAATGTCGTAACGATTGAATTTTCATCTTAGTATATTACACTTGACAAACATTCAATCAAGGGGTGTCGGTAACGATTGAACCCGTTGACTCATATGAATATCTGAAGATAATATACACTTAAGTTTTAAAAACTTCCAAGTGACCTTGACACTATTATCCGCCATGTGTCCAATCCTTCTCGTAAGCGCACACGAAACCAAAGTCCGGGTTTCTTGAAGCGGCTGCACTTCATGCTTACATAGCTTGAATCCTTTTGTTGTGTACCTGCATAATACACTTTGTCAAAGACTCAATTAAGAAGTTTTAAACTTCATCCTCTTCTCTCATGCAGGATATCAAGCACATACCTCGGGATGATGCATTATGTGCTTCAATTTCTGATAATGAGCTTTCCTCATTGAATTCAGCCTCTAACATTGTATTAGAGGGGAATTGGGTGTCCCATGATCAGAAATTATATAGACTTTAAACCCATCCCTTTCACAGACTTGACTACCAAGTCTCTAGCTAACCCTTTCGTCAAATGATCAGCTAAATTCTCTTGAGTCCGGACATACTGTAAAGACACAACTCCGTGAGTGATCAATTCACGAATTTTACTATGTCTTACTCCCAAATGGGGAGACTTGCCATTATACATTTGAGTATATGCCTTAGCCAAAGTAGCATTACTATCACAAAGGATAGAAATTGGTGAGATTGGTTTAGGCCATAAAGGGATGTCATAAACCAAGTCTCTCAACCACTCTGCCTCTCCTCCGGCAGAAGCCAAGGCCACAAATTCTGACTCCATAGTGGAACTTGTGATGCAAGTTTGCTTTTTAGAAGCCCAAGAGATAGCACCTCCCCCTAGCAAAAAGACCCATCCGGAAGTTGAAGTATGATCTTGAACATCAGAAATCCAACTAGCATCAGTATAGCCTTCCAAGATAGATGGAAATCCACTATAAGTCAAGGCATAATGTATTGTGCCTTTGAGATATCCTAGTACACGTCTCACTGCATGCCAATGATGAGCACTAGGATTACTCGTATACCGACTTAATTGTCCTACCGCATATGCGATATCTGGTCTTGTGCAAGTCATTGCATATATCAAGCACCCAATAATCTTGGAGTATTCCAATTGTGAAATAGGTTCCCCAGTATTAGGAAAAAGTTTCATACTTGGATCCACTGGGGTTTTTAATTCACGACAAACTTCACTATGAAATTTATCAAGTACCTTCTCAATGGAATGAGATTGAGTCAAAGCTACTTCCTTGCCGTTTCGCTTGATCTTGATACCTAGAATCATATCTGCCTCCCCCATGTCCTTCATGGAGAATTTAGATGACAAAAACTCCTTAGTGAGGTCCACTTGTCTTTGATTGGTACCAAAGATAAGCATGTCATCTTCATACAAACATATTATGACTCCATTACCAGAATCATCAAATTTTGTATATACACATTTGTCAGCTTGGTTTAACTTAAAACCACTAGACAAAACCACCTCATCAAACTTTTGATGCCACTGTTTTGGAGCTTGTTTAAGCCCATACAATGATTTGATCAATTTGCACACTTTATGCTCTTGACCGGGTACAACAAATCCTTCGGGTTGTTTCATGTAAATCTCTTCATCCAAATCTCCATTCAAGAAAGCTGTCTTGACATCCATTTGATGGATAATTAGATTGTGAATTGACGCAAGAGCAATCAACAATCTAATGGTGGACATTCGAGCAACAGGCGCGTAGGTATCAAAGTAATCAATCCCATGTTTTTGTCTAAAACCTTGGATTACCAAACGCGTCTTAAACTAGTCGATGGTCCCATCAACTCTTCTTTTCTTTTTGAAGATCCATTTATTACCCAAAGGTTTGCATCCAGGTGGTAAATCTACCAACACCCATGTGTTGTTCGCCATGATGGAATCTTTTTCATCATTAATAGCTTCCTTCCAAAAGGCAGCGTCACGAGACTTCATAGCCTCATCAAAAGTTTTAGGATCATCCTCAATATTAAATGAATATAAATATTGAGAGTGTACTTCCTCTCTAGACCCTTCCACAAGATACATGTGAAAGTCTGGTTCGAAAGATTTTGCAATCTTTCTTCTTTTACTTTGACGAAGAATGGGTAAAGTCGATTGCGAAGCATCTTCCTCAATCCCCTCATTGACATGAGGAACTATGTCTTTTGGTCGTTGCATTGATGAAAATCGATTTTCATCAAATATGGCATCTCTTGACTCAATTATAGAATGAATTGAGTAAGCGTCATTTTTTTCTATAACATAGAACCGGTGTGCCTTAGAATTTTCAGCATATCCTACAAAGATACAATCAATGCGTCTTTCTCCTAACGTCTTCCTTTTAGGATCCGTTAGTCGCACGACTGCCCGACAACCCCAAACTCGAAGATACTCCAAGTTTGGCTTTCGTTTATACCATAGTTCATAGGGGGTAGTAACGTTCCTTTTATTGGGAACCCTATTTAATAAATAGCACGCCGTTAGCATAGCTTCCCCCCAAAACCCATTACTCAAACCAGAATAAGAGAGCATGGAATTGACCATTTCCTTTAGAGAGCGATTTTTCCCCTCCGCTATCCTATTTTGTTGAGGGGTAAACGGTGCAGAGGTCTCATGTATGATCCCCATACTTTGGAAGTAAGCCGGATCATAGTATTCACCACCTCGATTCGTGCGCAAAGTTTTGATCTTTGCTTCTTGTTGTAACTCCACTTCAGTTTTATATATACTAAAGCAACTAAGGGCTTCATCCTTAGTTTGCAACAAGTACACATAGCAAAACCTCAAATAGTCATCAATAAAGGTGATCACATATTTCTTCCCTCCTAAGGTAGGAGTGCCATGTAAATCACATAGATCACTATGTACAAGTCCAAGCACTTTGGACTCCCTTTGCACATTCTTAAACGGCTCTCTAGTGATTTTTGTCAACATACAAGTTTTACACTTATCATGTTGAGCATCAAAACAAGGAAGAAGTCCTTCTTTAGACATAGTCATCATTCGATTATAATTCACATGCCCCAACCGTGCATGCCATAAAGACGAATCAATAAGGGTAGACATGTAAGCGGAAACAATATTATTAATTTTATTAATAATATTCAACATAAACATACCATTATTATAATAACCAAATCCGACAAACACTCCGGATTTAGATAATACATATCTATCAGAGTCATAAACTTGACGATATCCAAGTTTATTTAGTACACTTCCAGAAACCAAATTTTTCCTAATCTTAGGTACATGTAACACATCCCTAAGTACAAGAATCTTTCCGGAAGTAAATTCCAACTCTACGGTGCCACGTCCTTCGACTGGAGCAGTTGACTCATTGCCCATGTGGAGAACACAACCGTCTTCCACTGGTTTGTAAGTTTTGAACCATTTGCGATCCTTGCTTACGTGTATGTTAGCTCCAGAGTCCACCCACCAAGCAACATCATCATCCTGTACAAAAGATGCTTCATTAATTAGTGAAACATAATTCATACCCGAATTTGGATCAAATTCAAAATCAAAAGTGGGAATACGACCTTGTGGGCCTTGATCGTTAGATCCTTGCCCAACATGACGATTGCCATTATTCTTTGATTTTTCCATGGGATAATCACGCTTGAAATGCCCCGGTTTCCCACATTTCCAACAAGAAGGTTTAGCCTTCTTGTTCTTGTCGGCCTTGGATAGATTGCTGCCCTTTTCACGAGAACGTTTCTTTCCCTTTTTCTGGAAAGAAGACTCTCCAATCTCCATTATATGAACCGATGAAGAATCTTTTGGCTTCACAGCCTCTTGCACCCTAAGGTTCTCCTTTATGCGCAAGTGGGTACCTAGTTGGGTTAAATCCAACTCTTCCTTCTTGTGCTTAAGCATGTGCTTGAAGTCCTTCCAAGAAGGTGGCAGTTTGTCGATTGTACTCGACACAGCGATCGCCTCATCCATGTTCAGATTGTGTTGAGTAAACTGACCATAAATTCGAAGTAATTCGTTATATTGCTCCATCACTAGGCGAGAATCGCTCATCTTGTAAGTGTTGAAATTACTTACAAGAAACTTCTTGGTCGATGCATCATCGGCCAAATACTTTGCCTCTAATGCATCCCAAAGTTCCGAGGCATTAGCATACATTTCGTAAATGTCGAATAGGGAGTCCGACAAACCATTGAGTATGTGCCCTACACAAAGGTAGTTGTCATTCTCCCACTTCTTCATTTTACGAAGTTGCTTCTTCAATTCCTCATTGTCGACCCCTTCCTCCTTCAAGTTACATTCTGGACATGGGGTACTAATCACATACCCCACCTTGAGAGTAGTAAGAAGAAAACACATCTTCTTATGCCATCGACGGAAATGTTCCCCATCGAATTTCTCAATTTTCCCATGGATAGAAGGTTCCTTGTAAGGAGAAGTACGAGCCATCGTACAAGAGAAATATTCTTTACGATTGTTAGAAAAATAGTGACGAGGGTATTTGTACGAAAGCCCGAGACCGGGTGACTAGGATTGTGATAGAGTCGCGAACGAAGTTCACTTTCCGTAAAGAATATTTCCACCCTCCGAAAGCCTAGGGTTACAGGAAATTTCTTCGTAGGATAAAACTACCACCACTTTAGAATCTAGGCTTAAGAAACTAAAACACACTTAGAAGCTTTTGATGGAAGAAGATGAATACATATATTTATGATCTTTCTTTTTCTGTCCCCATCCATCAGTAGAGTCCCTCTATTCATAGGAAACGAAACATTACATTGCTTCATGTAGAACCATGCATCGTTTCATTATACGTTGCATCTATCCATAGCAACCATCCTTTTGTGAAGGGACGGATTGCTTAGGGAAGCAACCATCCAATTTGGAGGGACGTAATGCTTAAGGAAAAGAAAAGAAGGGGATATGTCCACCTGCCATCAAAGCTTGTTCCATGCAAATCAAGCCAAAAGTTGCATGACTTGGTTCCATGGCAGTTGAACAAGTATCTACCATGTGGGAAATTAATGGGTAACGAAAGCTAATTCAAATTTAAAAGAAACAGTGTGGCTAATCAAGATTAACCCTACCGTATCAATTAATTTAATTAACTCATGTACACATCTTTTCCCAACATCAAGCAAGATCTTTGCATAGCAAATCTACAAAAATGTACACCTTTCGTGCCTATCTAACTGCTACATCTGCATTCTGAATCTATAGGTAAAATAATAGCCAATATCATATCGCGTTCGAATCTACTTGGTGCAGTGTAGCTTCCGACGAACACCATTTGACAAAGCTACTAAGTTCTAAGTAGAAATCAGGATCAGGCTTCCTCTTAGTCTTTCATGATAAATAACCAACAAAATTTGAGAAAGCTTTATAATCTTCTTCTGACCCATTTTATAGCAGTCAAATCATTAAATTCAGTAAGCAGAATTCTATTCCTTTTAACAAGCAGTACGACTAGTTCTGTATTCACTATTGTGTTCTACTTTCTGTGATTAGCACTGTAATGAAACAACAAAAATACTAATTATACCAGTTGTACAGGATCAGAAGGTCCACGATAGGTATGCTGAGATACATAATTACTCCTTAATCATGTCACGCCTAATAAGAGGAATTCATGAACTTAAACACTGGTGGTGAGTTAGTCAATAAAAGAATGTAACTATACAAGTGAGATATGGTAGATGGGCAGCAAAAATCGTTATACCTTCCATGTTGATTTGTGAGAACATGAATCTCTTAGTTTCTCTGCTTTATTTTCTCAATCATCTCTCAAAAGGCGTTCAACAACGAATTTCCTTTGTACACCGACAATTACAGGGGTTTTACAGGGTTGAAGAGTTAACGGATTGAGATGCCCCAGAATGGAAATGGGCGATGCAGTTCTGAAATTCGGTGACAGAGGACCGAGGGGATGACAGATTCATTCCTGGTCAGATGGTGAGGGGGGCGAAGGCGAGATCATGTGGATCCGGTGGCAGCGCTGTAGTTCAACGGAGACTCGGAGAGGGAGGGAAGAGGGCAACACGATGCTTTGTTGTTTCCAGTATTTTTTTCTTCTATTTAATTTTTTCCCAAAACAAAAAAATATTTCGCAAAATAAAGAGATTCCCTATGTTGGTTATGGGGAGAGCATATGGTGACAAGTGACAACACCATATTTTTTTGTTATTGTAACAACACTAGTCTCCAACCAATAGGAAGATATGGTTGTGATGACTTTTTATTAGTTTAGTTAACCTAGTGTAAAATCAAAGCAGGGGTATAATTGTCATTATGAAAATATGTTTAAATAATAAAATAATTTTTTTTTATTTTCTGCCCAAAATTGTGGTCGCCGGAATTCGGCAACCGGTCGCCGGAATCTGGTCGATGGTCACTGGAATATGCTATGTTGTCATCGGAATATGCTCACCGTGGTCGGAATATGGTTACTGGCGTCAGAATCTAGTCATCGAGGCCGGAATATACCTATCGGCGCCGGAATCTACTCACTGATGGTCATCGGAGTTTGGTCAATGTCCACCGGATATAATGGTTTGTATTGTGAGAACTATGGTTTGGTTTCTTGTGTTTTTTTATGCTATTTGTGGTTTGCTTTATCGTGTTACTGGTTTGCATTAAGAAGTTTCTGGTGTGCTTTAAAAAATTTTGTGGTTTGCTTTGCGGGGTTTCTATTTTGTTTTAATAGATTTGTTATATGCATCAGGACGTTTCTGGTTTGTTTTTGTGGTTTGCTTTACCATGTTTGTGGTTTGCATTATCAGGTTTCTGGTGTGCTTTCGCAAATGTTGTGGTTTGCTTTGTGAGGTTTGTGGTTTGTTTTAGGAGATTTGTGGTATGCATTAGGAGGTTTCTGGTATGTTTTATCGCATTTGTGGTTTGCAGTAGGAGGTTTTTTGTGTGTTTTAGAAATAGTTGTGGTTTGCTTTGTTGGGTTTTTTTATTTGTTTTAGGAGATTTGTGATTTGCATAAGGAGATTTTTGGTTTGCTTTTTTGTGGGTTGTTTTACCGTATTTATGGTATGTATTATGAAGTTTGTGTTGTTCTTTATAAATACTCCTCTAATAATGCAATTAACCGGAGCTTGAGCCCACAGAATGATTATGTTGCATTTTAGACAGATCTTAAAGTGAACTTTTGGTGCAGGCAGGCAGTATCTAAAAAGGAGCCGATCTGATCTGATCGCACTGAAATTGGGATCTGTTCTGTTCTCTGGTCCGTCCTTAAAAAGGAACACTTTCGCCGCCGGCCGGCCACTCATGCAGTGTACGTGTGAAATCATACTCTGATAATGATGAAGAAGCTATAAGCTGCTAATTCAACAGTCCTCATCAACGCTGCCCCCTAATTTCTGACCACGAGAAGAACCTAACTAGATCAGATCAGCAGAAGAGCTCAAACAAACAAGAGCAAATGGGGATGAAACAGAGAGCAAGCTGAGGAAAAAACCTCCAAGAGAGATCGAGATATTTACCTCCACGCCGGGATCCATGGCGCACCACAAATGGTCTCTCGGAGAAGACGAGCTAGCGATTACTTGCATGCAGATGATCGTCAGAAACAGAAAAAACAGAGTATGGAGAGGAAGGGGAAGAATAATGGCTATGGCGACAGAGCAAGAGAAATTGAAATTAGCATAGGCGAGAGGAAAACCGACAATAGAGGATGTCTCTGTCTGCGACGCTCCGGTCTCTTTTTGGGTGAGTGGCTGACGGCAGCATCGTCATGAAGCTTTGGGCCGGGGAAAGAACGGCGGAGTTGCTGGAAGCCAGAATCGGAGGTTGAAGGAGATACACGAATCGGTAGGTATTATGAATATATTTTAATTGAATTTTTATTGTCATTTTAGTGTTATACCCTTGTTGTTAGTATAACAACACTTAAAGATAGGAGTATAAGTGACAATATTTTGTTAGCTTCAGAACTGGTTAATGGCTATAATAGGAAAATTTTGTCTCCTAGAAGTACGATGAAGATAGATTTGATGAAGGCATTTGATTTGGTGGATTGGGAGTTTCTTCTAACTGTTTTGATAGCAATGGGGATACCATTCCATTTTATTGATGGGATTAAAACTTGTATCACCACACCAAGATTCAGTGTTTCTATGCATGGAGGCATTTGTGGGTACTTCCCTGCCCAGAAAGGGCTTAGACAGGGGGATTCTCTCTCCCCCTTTTGTTCACAGTGGCGATGGAGGTGTTATCTTGTATTCTATCCAGATTAGCAGCTACAGGTGGACTTCTCTATCACCCTAGATGTAAGCAACTGTGTATAACACGTCTAGTGTTTGCAGACGATCTTCTGATTTTATCTAATGGTTCAGACAAAGCAGTGGATATGATTTGGGGGTTTCTAAGGAGGTTTTAATTGTTATCTAGATTGCGATTCAATCTAGAGAAGAGCCAACTATTCTTTGCAGGTGTCAGTGAAGATGAGCATTAAAGACTAGCAGCAAAAGCAGGATTCCAGAATGCTTCTCTTCCAGTTAGGTACTTGGGGGTGCCTTTAATCTCTGGAAACTCAGCTCAAGAGATATTAGAGTATTGATAGAGAAGCTAACAAAAATGCATTGTTGTAAGAACCGAACCGGATCAACGGCCGGGCCAGTAGAA